GACCAAAGTAGCAAGCTGCCAGTGTGTGCTGACCAAGGTAGCGACCTGCCAGTGTGTGCTGACCAAAGTAGCGACCTGCCAGTGTGAGCTGACCAAAGTAGCTACCTGCCAGTGTGTGCTGACCAAAGAAGCAACCTGGCAGTGTGTGCTGACCAAAGTAGCTACCTGGCCACTCAATTTATGATAGGTACTATGGAGTTTATTACGTTTCCCGGTCATGGGGTCTTGGAATTCATCTGCTACCAAAACTTGTCGACCGCATTTCAAAAACAACAATGGATTAGCTGACCACGATTACACCTCTTACATTTTAGCGATTTCAAATGTCGACCACTGAAAGAATGTATTAAAAAATCTACGCCACTGGAACTCAAAGGGAACACGAGAACTTTGAAATAAGAACCCAATGATTGATTGTTTTTTAAATCCAAGTTTTGGTCACAATAAAATGAGCGAATAATTGGGTGGGAATGCGAGAATTTCGCACACCAGTTACATAGATCTCATAGAAGTTGAATGGACATGACAGCGAATAACACGGCCGGGCTCACTTCCTTAACGGCTTCTCTGTCATGGACCATCTGAATTATTCCAAGGAAACAGATCTGGAAAGTTGCGTTAGATGCAAGATTTTTAAAAATGATGTCATTTTTTGTTTTCATAAATGTGTTCTATTTTGAAATACAGATGCAATACCGATGTCTAGTGCCCTTGCGTACTTAATCTTAGATAACTGGTGAGCGTATTCAGTGTCAGATTAAAAAAAAAAAATGCATGCACCGGTAAATAAAAGGCGGCGCTGCTGCTTCGACCCCCCCCCACCCCACCCTCATTTTTTAACGTCTCCCACCCTGCATAGAACTCCAGGCAATGTGACGTCATAAGTGCTTGATAAGACTGAACTATTAGAGCAAGAAAGGACGTGATGGTGCATGGCTAATTATGAACGCCTAGCTCCAGGCTCGTTATTTTTTCATGACGAAATTGTCTGTTGTTGTTAAAAGAGTACGTGCTACGACCAGACAGCGTCTCAGACTGATGACGTAACGTCCGTTCAATGTCCTAGATAAGCACAACCCTCAGATTGTTTTGTCTGAAATGTCTCTTAGTATCTGACCGTGCTGACGTAACATGTTCGTCGCTTGCCTATTTCTCTAGTGTTTTTATGTGTTGGTGATTTGTTTACACCGAGTTTGGCTGTGGTGAGCTGCTGAGGTGGGCAACTTATAGAACATCATCGTCAAACTAACAGTGATGTATCGAATGAAGAGGACAATAAAGAAGGCTACGTCTGTTGTCAACCTGGGGGTTGTGTTACTCACACACATGTGCTTAGGTGGGAGTAAACTAAATACGATGGGCTTAGGTTCGAGTAAACTAAATACGATGGGCTTAGGTGCGAGTAAACTAAATACGATGGGCTTAGGTGCGAGTAAACTAAATACGGTCCAGAATGTACAAGATACTTAAACCCTAATAACAAACAGTGGCAAGTGCTAAATAGTCACAACGGCGTGGGGACACATCACTTGGTTCCACTCAATACAACTCCAGCTGATTAAACAATGACTACGACTGTACTCACGCACCTTAATTATGTATCTTGTAAACAATACGAGAGGCCTAAAAGTGGGTTTGGTGGTGGGCCTTATACCCTAAACCAGGGGTGTGAGAGGCCTAAAAGTGGGTTTGGCGGTGGGCCTTATACCCTATACCGGGGGTGTGAGAGGCCTAAAAGTGGGTTTGGCAGGGTGCCTTATACCCTATACCAGGGGTGTGAGAGGCCTAAAAGTGGGTTTGGTGGTGGGCCTTATACCCTATACCTGGGGTGTGAGAGGCCTAAAAGTGGGTTTGGTGGTGTGCTTTTACACTATACCACGGGTGTGAGAAGCCTAAAAGTGTGTTTGGCGGTGGACCTTATACCCTATCCCGGGGGTGTGAGAGGCCTAAAAGTGGGTTTGGTGGTGTGCCTTATACCCTATACTGGGGGTGTGAGAGGCCTAAAAGTGGGTTTGGCGGTGGGCCTTATACACTATACCGGGGGTGTGAGAGGCCTCAAAGTGGGTTTGGTGGTGTGCCTTATACACTATACCAGGGGTGTGAGAGGCCCAAAAGTGGGTTTGGCGGTGGGCCTTATACACTATACCGGGGGTGTGAGAGGCCTAAAAGTGGGTTTGGCGGTGGGCCTTATACACTATACCGGGGGTGTGAGAGGCCTAAAAGTGGGTTTGGCGGTGCGCCTTATACGCTATTCCGCGGGTGTGAGAGGCCTAAAAGTGGGTTTGGTGGTGTGCCTTATACACTATACCAGGGGTGTGAGAGGCCTAAAAGTGGGTTTAGCGGTGGGCCTTATACCCTATACCAGGGGTAGGTGTTAGAGGCCTAAAAGTGGGTTTGGCGGTGGGCCTTATACACTATACCAGGGGTGTGAGAGGCCTAAAAGTGGGTTTGGCGGTCGGCCTTATACCCTATACCGGGGGTGTGAGAGGCCTAAAAGTGGGTTTAGCGGTGGGCCTTATACCCTATACCGGGGGTGTGAGAGGCCTAAAAGTGGGTTTGGCGGTGGGCCTTATACCCTATACCAGGGGTGTGAGAGGCCTAAAAGTGGGTTTGGCGGTGTGCCTTATACACTATACCGGGGGTGTGAGAGGCCTAAAAGTGGGTTTGGCGGTGGGCCTTATACCGTATACCGGGGGTGTGAGAGGCCTAAAAGTGGGTTTGGCGGGGTGCCTTATACCCTATACCAGGGTTGTGAGAGGCCTAAAAGTGGGTTTGGCGATGGGCCTTATACCCTATACAAGGGTTGCGAGAGGCCTAAAAGTCGGTTTGGCGATGTGCCTTATTCCCTATGCCGCGATGTCCAACTTTTTAGTTTGCCCGGGCCAATTTGAAAGAAGACAAGTTGTTTTGGGCCACATATAAAAGACACTAACACTAACGATAGCATATGATTTGAAAACTAAAAACTTAAAATATATATTGCAACATATTTAAGTAAATTAAAATTCATTATTTCCTAATTTTTTTTAAATTATGAAAGTTTAAAAAAAAAAGACAACATAAAAATAGTGAGATACTGACATTGTTTTTGAGACACTGATGTTTCGATATTTGGTTCAATGGAAGTAGTTGCTGCTCACAAATGTAGGTGCTTCCAAACAGCGATGACATGAATAAGGCATGATTGCGAAGTGAGGGATTTTTGTATTTCTGGTAAGGTATATCTTACAGTCCATTTTCGTTTAGCCGAGTGTCAGATTGTAGCTCTATGTGTTCCATTTGAAAATGAGCAGGTATTATGGCAGGTAATCTAGGTTTATGTCCAATGAAAAAGTTGTTGCAAACCTACCAAAAGATTGATGATTTTCCCGGACATCTTGAAGCCGGTTCTCAAATGCCTGTATCAAATCTAAATGCAAGGCTGCATAGTTTGTGTGCACCCCATGACCATGTTTAGCCAACGTGTCGAAATGCATACAATAGTTGGCCATAATTTGAGATGGCCATAGTTTCAGTTTAATTTCGGACAAGCTATTATTGCTTGAAACATTGTATTGATAAGTTTCACTTTTAAAGGCGCGTATTTATTCATATAAACGAGATGTCAAGTCTGATTTTAAAAAAAAATAATTAAAGTATTTGTTTCCATAAACGACTTGATATCATTTGGCAAATCATAACATCTTTTTAACATTTTACTTCCAATTTATAATTTATTTCAGAAAAGTAAATGACATCCCAATAGTCGGCATCCATCAATTTAAGTAATTCCTGGAAGCGGCAAAGATTCAATCAATCCCCAGGCCGTTATGGAATTTACAGTCTTGATGACAATCTGCTTGACTTTATTTATAGTAGCAGCTTTTGCACATGCATTGTCTTGGTGTACTTTGCAGTGATATTTCATCATACATAAATTTTGGAAGGCAATAGCAACATCTTCAATTAACTTAACCAGTCCATCTCTTTTACCTATCGTCGTCGCCAGTGCACCATTAGTAGCTAAATGACATATGTTCACAATGGACTAATTAAATTGCTTTAAACATATTTTAGAACAAAAAATGTATTTCCGCATAAGACATAGGAGTTATACTAAACACGTTAACTGGGTAAGACAGTAGACCAGTGGTTCTTAACCTTGTTGGAGGTACTGAACCCCACCAGTTTCATATGCGCATTCACTGAACCCTTCTTATTAGGAAAAATAAAATATATGTTTTTTTCTAATTTTTTTTGGACCTCCGCCGAACCCCTGAGAATGACTCACCGAACCCCTGGGGTTCGATCGAACCCAGGTTAAGTACCACTGCAGTAGATAGTGGGGCACAATGAAAATCCCTCTATCTTGCCTAGTAAGAGATACGACCTGTAATGGTTAATGGTATTTTTGGTTGCAGTCTCATAAAGTTTGTACGTTTCAAAGTGTTTGTGGGGCCGCATTCACAGCCGTCCTGGGCCGCATTCACACTCGTCCTGGGCCGCATGCGGTCTGTGTTCCGGACACCCCTCCCCTATAGCCCTCACCAACCTGATACCCTCACCCACTCCCGATACCCTCAGCCACTCCCTATGCCCTCACCCACTCCCTATGCCCTCACCCACTCCCCATACCATCACCCACTCCCTATTCTCTCACCCACTCCCCATACCCTTACCCACTCCCTATACAATCACCCACTCCCTATTCTCTCACCCACTCCCTATACCCTCACCCACTCCCCATACCATCACCCACTCCCCATACCATCACCCACTCCCTATACCATCACCCACTCCCTATTCTCTCACCCACTCCCTATACCCTCACCCACTCCCTATACCCTCACCCACTCCCCATACCATCACCCACTCCCCATACCATCACCCACTCCCTATACCATCACCCACTCCCTATTCCCTCACTCACTCCCTATTCTCTCACCCACTCCCTATACCTTATATAAAATAATAATCACTGTCTTTCTGTGATCTACAGGTGTCACTGGCAAGTTCTATTGTGGCATGAAGGTGCTGTCATGTAGCTGCTGTGACGGTCACTGCGGGCCAAACAATGGATGCAACTGCCCGCCATGCCAACAGTTGGATAAGGAGGAAGAGGACTTTGCCAAAGACCAACGGACTATGCCTCCACCTTCCCAACCAATTATAGATACCTGGACATGGGGACAACAGCCAGGTACAATAGATTTGAATTCTGAGGAAACTCAGATCTAGCTTTGTGAACAGGGGGGGTTTAAAATCTTTAAAAATCCTTTAAAAGTAAAAGTAAACAAAGGTGGACAAATCTATTTAAATTTCAGAAAATCTGATTTAGATTTTAAAAAATACAATTTAATTATTTCAAATATAATTTTATTAAAAAAAATTATTTGACCCTCTTGTGACCGCTGGGCTGATCTATTGGCCAAGAGTGTTATGTCAAAAAAGACGAAAGCACCGACATTCCAAAAAATATCCCTCTCAACAGGGTTAAAACCTATTTCCTACATTACTTTAAATTTGTATAAAGATTAATATACTTCAAAATCTAAAGTATTCCCATTAAAACATGAGCAAAAAATCAAGTTCAAGAAAAAAATGTGATTTTAATTTTAAAAATGCTATTTGCATCCCAAAAATTTGATTTAAATACTATTAACTATATTCTATTTAATGTTTATAATCATTAATATACTTAAGATCTAAAAAAATCATTATAGAAATATTCCAGATATGCACCGTCTTACTTCAGATATGCACCGTCTGACTTCAGATATGCACTGTCTTACTTCAGATATACACTGTCTTACTTCAGATATACACTGTCTTACTTCAGATATACACTGTCTTACTTCAGGCATACACTATCTTACTTTTGTCATGTACGTATTAAACCAAAACTCCCATGCTCCCAGATTATTCCAGATATAAACTGTCTCACTTCAAATATTCACTATCTTACTTCAGATATACACTGTCTTACTTCAGGTATACACTGTCTTACTTCAGGTATACACTGTCTTACTTCAGGTATACACTGTCTTACTTTTATCATGTACTTAAACAAAAACTCTGATGCTCCCAGATTATTCCAGATATTAACTGTCTTACTTAAGATATACACTGTCTTACTTCACATATACACTGTCTTACTTCACATATACGCTGTCTTACTTTAGATATGTACTTAAAATGTCCCGTTCCCCCAGATGTCCACAAACTCCAGCAATGCCTAAGCTCCATCCTCCAGGAGCACCAACAGCTCAGCCTGGAGGCCTTCAGCAGCTCCCTATCCATGACCCGCCTCCAACAGAGAATTGCTGTCCTGGAGAGGTACTTCACTGCTCTGTGCCGGCAGAATCAAGGGGAAAGAAGGGCCCCATCTCGCAAGCGCCAGGCAAACCAAAGCAACCTCAACAAACAGAAAAGGTTTGTTGTAGTTTATTTAGACAAGGAATGGGGGAAAGGCCATTTCCTAGTGGCTGTCGTGTGTTTGGGGTCAGGATCGCAACATTTAAGACAGTGGCCCACCTTCTTATTTAAGAAAGCTTGCGTCAGTCTTAGACGAAACAGAAGGACAGGAAATTAAAAACTTGTCCATTGTTTTTATTTTATGTCTTATTCTTCGCCATTCTAATGATTATCAGAGATTCCCTTTAAACACAAACGAATCTACCGATAGTGGTGTTGTTGGCAATAAGTGAGTGAACATGGTTGTAATGAGGCAGTTTTTCTCTACTCCAGCTCTGTTGTCAAGCCTGTTGAGAAAGCGACCATGGGTCTGGCCAGAGTTGGGTCAAGGGCAGCCCTCAGTTTTGCCTTTGCTTTTCTCAGACGTGCATGGAGGTCAGGAGAAGATTCAGACCTTTGTGGGGAATTGCTTCAAGTAAGCAAATAATCTTTTTATTTGTTTTATCATTTCTATCCTATAAATTGTGCTGGCTTTTTTTAATAGGAATGTGCACATAAAAAAAAATAATTCCCTCGTATGTAAGCCATAATCTAATTATACAAAGAAAAATGTTCTGACTGACTAACTCTTCAATGCTCTGCCCAAATTTGGTGTGCACTCTTTTGTGTAAATAGCCACACGCAAAAAAAAAAAAAAAAACTAGATAAAGACTTTAGGAAAGTTTATTACATGATTTAATTATGATTTTTGTCAAAATGATGTTAATTTGTTGTCAAGGTGTGCAAATGAAAGGTAAGTGATATGGTCCTCGTTCGGGCACCTGTTTTAGTTGTGACATTGACCTCGTTGGGGCCCCTGTTTTAGTTGTGACATCGACCTCCTTGGGGCACCTGTGTTAGTTGTGACATCTGCAGCTGACTTGCGTCACTCCATTGATTGTGGACGCACCAGCAGAGATGCTGTTGTAGCCAAGAGGACAACAATAAGTCTGGGGGAAGAATTCATACATTCATAGTAACAAATTATGTCTCATTAGGTCTTGAAAACTACTTTTTAAAAAAGCTGAGATTTAAAAAATAAATTAAATTTTATTTTTTTGGACAGTCTTAGAAATTTAAAAATATTAATATTTTTTTAAAAAGGAATTTTTAGATGTTAATTGATTGGTTTTTGAAAAATAAAAATAAAAACATTTAATAGGTGAGTACTGTGAATGTAATGAGGTTTTAAAATAAGATGATATTATGTTGATAAAATTGTTGTTTTAAAATAAGATGACATTATGTTGATGTAATTTTTGTTTTAAAATAAGATGATATTATTTTGATGTAATTGTTGTTTTAAAATAAGATGATATTATGTTGATATAAGTGTTGTTTTAAAATAAGATGATATTAGTGTTGTTTTAAAATAAGATGATATTATGTTGATATAAGTGTTGTTTTAAAATAAGCAAATTAAGTAACCTCTCCATTTTCTTGTGAAACTAATGGATGGTTGGCACACGCTGCCACTCCATGGGTGCAGGCAATATCTGAAAATGAAACTCATTGTTGAAAGTGTTTTTAGTTGAAAGTAAACACATCTTTTGGTCATATCTTAGTTGAAACTAAACACATTATTTGGTCATATATTAGTGGAAACTAAACACATTGTTTGGTCATATATTGGTGGACACTAAATACATTGTTTGGTCATATATTAGTGGAAACTGAGCACATTGTTTGGTCATATCACTCTATTTCTGATACAGATTGTCCAATTAGTGTGTTTTTTTTTTTTTAAATAGACAATTTAAGCTGATTATGTTGTCATCAAACATAAGTTATTTGGTTACGTAAAGAAAGGTGTTCATTTGTCTGTAAGACAATCAACTAAATACATTGTTTGGTCATATATTAGTGGAAACTGAGCACATTGTTTGGTCATATCACTCTATTTCTGATACAGATTGTCCAATTAGTGTGTTTTTTTTTTTTTTAAATAGACAATTTAAGCTGATTATGTTGTCATCAAACATAAGTTATTTGGTTACTTAAAGAAAGGTGTTCATTTGTCTGTAAGAAAATCCTGCAGTTAAAAATTAACTGTATTATATTTCATGAACCTATGTGATGTAAGCTAGCTGTGATCTTACTGTCAGCCAAGGTGAAGGTCAGGCAGGCAACATCAGGGCCAAGAAAAACAGGATCCTCATGGTTATTGGGTGGTGTGTGTATTGCAGGGTGGGGCTGTAGTACAGTAGGACAACCACTTGATTAGCTGATTAATTAAAAGTAAACACCACCCCCCCCCTTTTTTTTTTTTTCCTTTCTTCCCACACATCAATCCTGCACTTGCATTAATGGTTTTTTTAATAAAAGACTTTGCAAAAAAATGTAAAAAGTAAACCCCCCCCCCCCCCCTTTTTTTTTTTTTCCTTTCTTCCCACACATCAATCCTGCACTTGCATTAATGGTTTTGTTAATAAAAGACTTTGCAAAAAAATGTAGATATTTCAATGACATTATTGTTTAGCTAATTTGTACTTTTAATGTTATTTTTTAGTTATAATTAGTTCTAAGAATTAAATATTTTTAATAGGTATCCTGTTGTTAGAATTAGCTAGTTCTATTGAATTTATATTGCCATTTTTCATTCGAGTTAAAAGAAAAATACTTATAAAATTAGTACATTGCTTTGCTTTGAGATTATCTTTTTTATAAGAAATTTATAGTGAAACTGCTTAACATCATATATTAGAAATGAATCATAGTAACATCGCTGCCCTTTACTGCTCAAATATATTAACACTTTGGCATTAAATCAAATCTTACCTTCAAATCTCAATTGTCGGAATGACTGTTTTCTCTATAAATATCTGTTCTTAAATAGCACAATTCAAGGTCATAGCTGCAGGCTTTAAGTGCCTAGGTTTATTCGTATCATGTTATAGAAATTATTTATTTTAAGGCACCTATATTGTATCTGTATTTTAAAACAATTTCATTATATTTCATCTTTGAAAAACTCTACAGATGAAACTGATAGCAAAATTCATGGTAGATGAGGAAAGGAAGTAGAAGAGATAAGAAGGTCACAATTTGAAAAGTTCTGGTTGAAAAGTGTAAAGAAAAAAAAAAATTTTGACATCTGGTTATGTGGTCCATTATAGCTTCATAAAAGTTTAGGCAACGTTGAAATGATTGACAGCTGATTTCCAGTGGGCTAAGTGTAGAGAATAACTTTTCATTAATGATAACTGAAATATATTTGCATCATTGAATGATGACCTTGGACAGGCCAACTTTTTGTTCATCCCTCAGTGAAATGACATATAATTTGCATGTGCAGTTAATAATTTAAGCAAATATCTGACATTAATATGAAGCTATTTCAATTGTTAATGTTTTTGTTTAAAGCAGTGTCCCCAAATAATGGTCTGCGGACGGGCACGGGTCAGGAGTCTTTCGTTGCCAGTCTGCACAACACGAATATTTATGGTCAAATAAAAAGAAAATATAATTAATAAATCTGGTGCTGGTCCCTGGTGCAATTTCAAAACTTGTGCACCGCTCCGTCAAACTAAAAAGCTGGGCAAACGCTATTTTAAAGCTTCATTTATCATTGGAAATAAGTTAACTCTTCTATCTGATTGGATTGTTGGTGGGCATGCAAGTTGTCTTAGGATCTATGCTTCTATGGGCTGCTAGAAAATGTCAGCATTTCTTATCTTCAAGGATTCTAGGTTGAGTATCTGAGAGAAATTTAAAAAAAAATAGGATTGACTTACATTTTGCACATTTTTTTAAGTTGAACATAAATGTAGGTTGTTAGCTGTAATCCAATTATATTCTGCTTCAGGGTTCACATCTCCATGAAGTCGCTTGTCATAATCCATTTGACGTGGTTCATTTTGACTTGACATATGTTATGTCAGTGTTTTCTGGATGTGTTTAAATGTATTGTGCACTTGTAAATTAGAATAATAAATACACGGGAAAGGCACCATGGCTGAATCGTCTGCAGGAAATCAAATAACACGGAAAGGTGTGAAAAAGAATAATTTCTTTCTTTTCTTTTCTTTTTTTTTTTAGTACTTCATAAGGCATCTCTACATAAGGCATCTATACATAAGGCATCTATACATAAGGCATCTATACATAAGGCATCTATACATAAGGCATCTATACATTTATAATATTTCGACCAGATTTTGGTTTCTGGGAACAAGGGGCGGCAAAATGAAGGACAGCGTCACACCAGCTCTTGCTATTGCACTGCCCCAGGCTTCCCCTGCCTGTAAGCAAGCTCACTGCCATGCCAGTGACTAGTCCAAATATGAACTTTGTGAAGACATGTCCATATGTTGACTACAAAATATTTCATTAGCAGCTGTGTAATCAGTCAAGCATGTGATATTTCAAAGCATTGTATTTTAGTGCACAACACTAGGAGCACAGACTACTTTGGTGCTAGGTAAACCCTAGATCCAAGTGTTTTTTTGTTAAATACAAGGTCATCTTTTCATCAACCATGAACAGACTAAAATGTCTCCGTGGGTATATATTTGAAATTTTGGGTATTTGTGGATATATTTGGGTATCTGTGGGAATAAATCAGTGTTTTCTAAACGAGATGGTCTCCTTGGTCAAGGGAGTGATCATTTAACAAGGTTTTCATTTGCCAGTTCAGCAGATCCAAGTTCCTGTTCAGTCTGTCAATCTTTGATCCAACAACAGTATTGTTAAACTGACTGTCCAAGTGGTAGCCATTAACATATTTATAGGATCTTAATTGTGCAGTTCTAACTTCAACATTCTTAAGATGAATTAGCTCCAGGCAAGTTTGAAAGGTGTAAAGCGACAACAAAACAGGATGCATTTCAGATGTTTAATTATATAAGATATAATTTACAATCTTGGGAATGCATTTTAAAAAAATAGATAAAAATCTCAATGTCAGTTATAGTTGATGTCAACCTATCTTTCCATTGGTTGGCGCATGCAATAGGTTAGACTTAGCAGTTTCATCACTCCTGCTTACGTGTGACATCTGCAGGCCACATGTGTCACACCATTGACGGTGGATGCTCCGGCAGCGATGCTACTGAAACCATCAGGACAACAAAAAGTCTGGGGGAAAGCATAAAAAACATTTTAGTTCACATTTATAAGATCAGGTGCTGAAATCTAATTGAAAAACCAGACAATCCAATCATTTACTGATATTACTTTGAATGCAATGAGGATATCCTATTATTTACTGATATTACTTTGATTGCAATGAGAATATCCTATCATTTACTGGTATTACTTTGAATGCCATGAGGATATCCTATCATTTACTGATATTACTTTGAATGCAATGAGGATATCCTATCATTTACTGATATTACTTTGAATGCAATGAGGATATCATATTATTTACTGATATTACATTGAATGCAATGAGGATATCCCATCATTTACTGATATTACTTTGAATGCAATGAGGATATCCTATCATTTACTGATATTACTTTGAATGCAATGAGGATATCCTATCATTTACTGATATTACTTTGAATGCAATGAGGATATCCTATCAATTACTGATATTAATTTGAGTGCAATGAGGATATCCTATCATTTACTGATATTAATTTGAGTGCAATGAGGATATCCTATCATTTACTGATATTAATTTGAGTGCAATTATTAGGATTTGAAAATGTTACTTAAAAGAGGTGCCTGTTTTGGCTTATGGGAAAACTGTTTTAAAGTGATAGAATTATTTCACCTCTCCATTTTCATGTGCGACTATGGTATGATGGACACATGCCGAAACGCCCACTATGCAATCAGAATCTGAAATTGAACATAGTTTTTTTATTCTAAAAATGAAGATAGTGTTTAGTGATATTAATCATATACTGTGTAGGATCATACAGTTATTTTTTACTAAAAGAAAAGTAAAGGTCACAAATAAGTTGTTTCTCAAAGACATACTCTATAAGCTACTTAAAAATCATGAAATATAAAAATTGATGCATCCAAGGTAGTGTTACATACTGTTATAGATAGTTTTGCAAATTCATTTCCTTTAAGATTTGGCTTGTGGAGTGAACAATACGCAACAAAGGACTGAAAACCAGCAGACAAAGAAAAATGATACCAAAGCTAGTGGTATTATCAATATTCAATTTTTTTATACTATTAAATTTAAAAATACAAAATGAAATGTACAGAAATAAAAACGATATTCACCTATAGCACAGCAAGTGAAAAAGTTTAATCCTCGAAAGATACAAATATTAATATACAAAAAAAAAAGAGTAAAATCTTGTTAGGCTCTTTGTTTTAATATTGATTAAGATTAATATGTCTCGTGTCTATGAAATCTAGCAAAAAAATCTCTGCTGGGAAAGCTGCCGCCTTATTTATGGGGAGGGTGTTAGAATCGTCCAGAAAGGAAATTCTAGAACTTGCATCATTCATAGCATTCTTTTGAACAAATAAGAAGTAAACAACCTTTTCCAAATCAAAGGAGGGGAGAGGGTGGTTCAGCGCTACACATTTAAAATGTGTCAAAATCAAAACAAAAAAATGCGGAGAGAAGTGGTGGATTCTTTAGCTCAACGTTGAAACAAAATTAGGTCAACACACAGGCTATAACAATAGTCTACATAACTAGGTTTCCCGGGGGTGAGAGGTGGCATTTCAGGAAGTGCAAGGAAAGGGCATAATAAAAATCGAGGCAACAGGAGCCTTTAAGTCATGATATAAATGTTGAAACGTTATTAGCCATTTGATATAAATGTTGATTTTCCTTTGTGCAATAAGTCTTAACATTTATTTTTAAGTTTGACAGTTTGGCAATTCAATATACAAATTATTATAAGTCCTTTTTTTTTTCTTCAAATTTTAAAATGGATTGTTACTTTTTTATGGGGTGTCAGACTTAGTCAACAGTTTGTAGGGGTCGCCAGATTTAGTCAAACAGTTCGAAGGGGGTGCCAGAATTAGTGAAACAATTGATGGGGGTGGGGTGTGAAACTTTAGGGAGTGTAAAGTATAGAAAATGTTGGGAAACTAGTCTAATAATTGTAAGGGAGTAGAGTATTATAGAAAAGGTTTGGAAACTAGTCAAAGAATGTAGGGAGTGTCGAGTATAGAAAAGGTTGGGAAGCACTGTTATATACGACAAACTTGAATGCATCAAATGTTTATTTCTCTCAGGATTTTGAAGTCACTCAGATTAAATTAAAGTTATAATCTTAAAACTTATTTATTGTATTTCTTGCTTTTGTTTTTGAAAAGTGACCAAATTAAAATCTTACTGGCAGCCAATGTTAAAGTCAAGCTGGCAACAAGCAGGGCCAAGACAAATAGGATCTTCATTGTTATTTGAAGGTGTTGTGTACTGCTGGGTGGTTCTGTAATAGAGTACGACAAAGAAGTGAATAGATTATGTGAATCTGTCTAACTTTTTGTAAGGCAGCAACACATTTAAGAGAGGCACATTTTAGATTCAGTTAATATCTTCAGTTGTCTTTTGATTGGTGTAAAATATATTTTTACAAATTCCATTAAATGAGTGTAAACTTAATATGCAGTTAAGGGAAACCTATTTGTTTTTTTAAAAATAACTTTGTTTCAAATGCATCAATAAATTTTAAAAACTGGAGTCTAAATAGCAGCTCTTCATCTTATGCTTATTTCTTTACAAGAAATGTTTATTTTGGGATTTACAAAGAAAAATGTACTTTGCTTTAACATTATATACTTTAAACAGACTCTCCTACTCAAAGTTGTAAGGCTGAGTAATGTAAAATTTTGTTCAGAATTACAGTCAAATCTTACCTTAGAATTCTGGATATGTTTGTTTGAATAATTGTTCTATATAAAATAATTGGTCTTATATAGCACAATTCAAGGCCAAAAGAATAGACTTCAAATTGTAGGACACCAACTTAGAGCACAATTCTTGGTTGATAAGTAAATGAAATAATAGAATTGAATAGATAAGGAGGTCACGTTTTGAAAGTTCTACTAAAAGTGTTATGAAAAAAAGAAAGAAAGTATTTGAACTTGTGGAGTCAGTTAAGAGTTACATACAATCTAAGGAAATAATGTCACGATTGGCTTAAATAACACAATTCAAGGCCATAGCAAAAGATTTTAAATAATGTAGGACACCGACTTACAGCACAATTCATGGTTGATAAGTAAATGAAATAAATGAAATAAAAGGACTGAATAGATAAGGAGATCACGTTTTGAAAAGTTCTAGTCTAAAAGTTTAATGAAACAAAAAAAAAGGAAAGAGTCAGTTAAAAGGTACATAAAATCTAAGGAAATAACTGCATGTATTTGAGATGATTAAGTCACATCACTTTGTATCAATCACAAGCAACACATTTTAAATGTACTGTACAAACAGCAGTGCAAACTATGCATTTACCTAAAACTTAAGCTGAGAGAAGACATTATGCCATCATATTTAAAAATATTTTTTGGGATATTTATGCATTAATAATTGTTATCAAAGTCCTTGAGGCCAGTGAACAATTATGGCAATGAGATATTATCGAATCTTATTTTCTTAACTGAATCATGGCTTCCTGATTCCCTAACTTATTGCCCAATCTACCACTTCAACGGCGGAAAAGAATATACACAGAATATAAGTAAATACATCTATAGTGTCTGTGGCCTAGTAGTCACAAACTCACTAAGCATAAATTAGCTTGTAGACCATCATATAATTATCTTATAAGGCTAGTGTTTTATAAAGGTCTCATTTATTAGCAGGAATACACTTAAAGTGAAATCAATTTTGTTAAAGTTTTCTGAAATTAAGTTTTCTTGTTCATTGGATTTCTGAACTATTAGATTTGACATATATGTAACCTTGGACAAACTAAACTAAATTGTGTCCATGCATATTTGAACTATTAGATGGACATAATTGTAAACTTGTAGAAACTAAATTGTGTCCATGCATATTTGAACTATTAAATTGGACATTAATGTAAACTTGGACAAACTAAACTAAATTGTGCCCATGCATATTTGAACTATTAGATTTGACATAAATATAACCTTGGAAAAACTAAAATAAATTGTGTCCATGCATATTTGAACTGGAACAAGACATGTAATTGCAGCAAAAAACGCTACATTTTTATAGAAATAAATGACCTAATTATCAAATTTTCCCAATGGATTAACAGATGTATTCTGTCTGTTTGATTCTTCGTTGGTGATGTTCATAAGGTTTTGCTGACATGTATTTTTGAATTGTTGGCCACACAGATTTTTTTGGGACCAAGTATTTGCAAATTAGTTTGTGCATTTCTTATCTACAAGGTTTATAGCCTGAATCCTCCTCTGTAATAAACATGTTTTTGTTACGTGATGGCGGAATTTAAAAATAGCATTGTCCTGCTTTGGACAAATATTTTCTCAGTTTGACATAAATGGGGGTGGATAGTTATAGTTGAAGTATATTCACCTAGTTCTTGCGTCATGTCATTTTGCACCTTGCAGTCTTAGACTGTAAACTATGAAACCCCCTCCCCCCCCCCACACCCACTTTAAAAAAAAGAAAACAACAACTTTGTCATGCAATTGTAATTATTTTCATAGACTGTCATTAAATATCTATCACACTGGTACATCAAAGAAATAGACACAAAGAAAAGACACAATGACTTAATTAGGTGTCAGATCACAAGAAAAGTTCTCAAACCACAAAGACAATTCTCAGACATAAAGAAATCCATAAGTTCGTTTTTTTTTTTTTCACTTTGTATGAGCTTCGTATGTTTTTATATATTGTACATGATGAGGAGAAAGGACGGCAATCAGCAGGGATGGAGCACAAATTCCAATGAAGCTCAGTAATTTGTTCATGGACCTGACATCCCCCCCAGCCTTCACTTGCCTGGGGGGGGGGGGAGGAACGTTTACTGCCGCGTGAAATGCTATTCAAATTCATACAGAAATCTGGCAGTTAAGCCATGAATAAGATATTTCCTGCACATTTCACCTGCTGCGTAATCATCACCCAAGCATACACTATTTTTAGCACAGTACCCGAGCGTTCAACACAAGCAAGACAGAATACTTTGGAACAAGGCAATATTTGGATTTCTTTGATTAAATATGAAGTCATCTTGTCATCAACAATGGACAGAAAATTTGATGGGGAAAATAATAGAAAATCAAGAATTTGTGTATCATGACACTAAAGCAGGCCTGCACAACATACGGCCCGGGGGCCGCATGTGGCCCGCCAGCACCCACTTGGCGGCCCGCTAAGAAACGAAATAATCTTTTTTATTATTACTTTCTTAATAACCTTCGCCCCTGTCCTATTATCTTTCGGCCTGCACATGTTTTTCATTAAGTATTACCGCCCCCCTTAAATTTTGAGTTGTGCAGGCCTGCACTAAAGCATTCATCAGCAAATATTACAGCAAAAGTTCTAGTCTAAAGTTTTATTTAAAGTAAAGGAGTTCAATTGCCAACACTCATCACCAGGAAAAAAAAAACTTAAAAAAAACTGTGAGTTTGAATGTCACATGATTTCCAATGTTATTAAAATAATCTAATTTCATGAGACTTATTTAGAAGTTGCGCAGTTTGATGAAGTTTTCCATTCTCTTTTATTTCAGGAAGGCCATGATGCCTTGAGATCACTGCAAGAATGTACTCTGTTTGAACCTCACTATTCTCTTTTATTTTAGGAATTCCATGATGCTCTATGATTACTCCCAGAAACTTCACTTTTTGAAGCATTCTATTCTCTTGTTTTTCAGGAATCCCTTGATGCCCTCAGATCACTACCAGAAGCTACTCTGTTTGAAGAAGGGTCTGTGTCCTCTGTGTGGCTGGAGGTGGTGGAGAGAGCCACAAAATTCCTGCATTTCGTTGTTGCTGGGTGAGCTGTCCTTATTTATACATTATCAAATTTATACCAGAATAAACTAAGTTTTATTTATAAATTTCAAGAAAATAAACTTTTTTTCCCACACGTTATAGTCTGTATGTTGACCTAGTTTTACTTCACCACAAGCCGTGGCATTCAACCTTACCTGCTCTCCCCCTTTTTGTTTTGTTAGTGATGTCACTGATGAAATGTGTAGTGCCAATCGCCCCTCCCTTGATTGGGAAAAGGTTGTTTACTTTCGAATACATTCTAATTTGTTTTAAAGATGGCCATTAAGTGATGCAATTTCTTTTCTGGAGCTGGAGGGTTTAAGCTTTCTACCTAATAATAAAGCGGCAGCTTTCCCAGATGTAGAAGAGAGATTTTTGCTAATTTTCCAAGACATTCACGAGATGTAATATACTTGCAAGAAATACTCTTTATATGTGTGTGTAAATTAATATTTTTAGCTTTTGAGGTTTGTAATTTTTCACTTGCTGTGCTGTAAGTTCATATAGTTTTTATCTCTGTCTGTTTGCTTATGTATATTTTATATAAATTTAATGGTATAATTAAATTGATTATTGTTAATATCTGTAGCTTTGGCATTGTTTTTTCTGTATATGCTGGTTTTCAGTCCTTTGTTACGTATTGTTCATTCCATGAGCCAAATCTTAAAGCAGATTAAATTTACAAAAACCACTTAACGGTACATGACGCCACACAAGAACAGGTTAAATACAGAATTTTTTTCACATGAAACATACATGTTTAAGATAGATCTTGAGAAGCATAACTATTTTTGTTAGATATTGTCACATAGCTTTTGCAATAGCAAGCAACCTCAGTGTGATGTCATTCATATTTCCAGAGTTATTGTTGATAAATTTACAAAAACTAAACACTGCTGATACTAATAGTCTTTTGTATTTATGGCTAACATTGGTAATTATTAAATTATTTTATTCATTTTATATATATATATATGTATGTATGCATGGCATCTTTCCGTCTGCGGGAGACGATAGATTATCTTTATTGCTTGCAGCTCTTGGTGTGGCTGGTGAGACCAATCCTCGAATGGCAGTCTCTGTTACATTTCCCACACACGAATGCCGTGGAGCAGTATTTACATGCCTTCCTCCTCGCTCTTTTTGCAGCTGTTTCCGCCCTGTTTTGATCATCTGCCTTCACGATGCCCCGCCATGAGGATCTATCCTCTGCCAGCTCCTCCCAGTTTGAGATGTCGATGTTGGCCGACTTCATATCTCTTTTGCATATGTTTAAGTATCTCAGACAGGGCCATCCAACTGACCTTTTCCCTGTCGCCAGCTCGCTGTATAGCACGTCCTTTGGTATGCGACCAGGTTGCATTCGCTTGACTTGTCCAAGCCAGCGGAGGCGTCTTTGGATTAACATGGCTGGGATGCTACACATGTTTGTTTGGGACAGGACATCCACGTTGGGGACTTTGTCTTGCCATTTAATGTCAAGGATGTGGCGCAGGCATCTGAGGTGGAAGCCATTGAGCCTTCTTTCGTGTTTAGAGTATGTGGTCCATGACTCGCATCCATACAGAAGTATGCTAAGTACAGGCCTGGTACACCTGCAGCTTAGTTTGTTGTTGTGAGTTTGGCGTTTGACCAGACTCTTTTCTTCAGTCTGGCCATAACAGTTGCGGCCTTCCCTATCCTCCCACTTATCTCATCCTCCATTGAGAGGGTGATCGATATGTTGGATCCCATATATGTGAATCTGTCAACAGTATCCAAGTCGTAGTCGTCGATGGCGATAGTGGGGAGGGAGTCAGCGCCCTGTGCCATAATGTTAGTTTTCTTTAGGCTAATTGTCAGGCCAAACTCTTTGCAGGCAGCAGATAGGCTGGATACAAGGCTCTGCAGGCCATCTGCTGTGTGAGATACCAAAGCGGCATTGTCCGCAAACAAGAACTTCCGCAGCAAGACCTTTCTTGTTTTAGTCTTAGCTCTAAGGCGGGCAATGTTGAATAATTTGCCGTCATCTCTAGTGTGGATGTATATCCCCTTGCTGTTGTTCTGAAAGGCATACTGGAGTAGGATGGAGAAAAAGATTGCAAATAAAGTAGGAGCCAGCACGCAACCTTGCTTTACTCCACTACTCACTGGAAAAGCTTCTGAGGCGGCACCGTTATAGCACAGTGCCCTGCATGTTTTTGTGGAACTGCTTGATGATGTTAAGCAGTCGTGTAGGGCAGCCTATCTTTTTGAGCATCTGAAACAGGCCGCTTCTGCTCACAAGATCAAAAGCCTTATATATAAAACATGTATGCTTTTGTACAGAGATACATTGCTATAAAGCAGATATATTTATATATAAATAAAAATATAACTTTAAAAGAAAACAAATAATTTTCTTAAAATAATTCTTTTGTTACCAGAGACTTGGTTGGTGGTACGGGAGGTGGACATGGGGGCTCATCCAAGATCCCTGTCCAAGACCAGCAGATTGCCCTCTGCCTCATCCTGGAGCTGGCGGTTCAGAAAGGGGCCCTGAGCAGCGTTCTGCAGGCCGTGCTCCTGCTGCTGAACCTGTGGAACAACAGCCACCACGACTACGACAACAGGGTCAGCAGCAGCCTGGTCTCGGCTCCGCTCATTCCACTACTCAGGAGGTTTGAGGGTATACACAATGCCAAGTCAAAGGCTTCTCACACTGGAAAATATGATGAGGTAAGTGAGACCTTCTCAGGGAATAGTTTAATTGTGGCAAGACAGGATTTTAAAAAATCTTTAATCTCGTAATAAAAATTTAAAAAAAGAAAACAACTCTGTGTGCATCATCAGTGATACACTGCAAATTGTTGAATACAAGTCCTGTTGTCATATACTATGGACTTTAAAAATATTAACTCTGTGTGCATCAGTAATACATTGCAAAGTGTTTTGTACAAGTCTTTTTGTCTCATTCTATGGACCTTGGGAAAGACTGTAACTCTTTACAATAATCACCCCCCAACCCGCCAAACCCTTTATATTTTTGCAATATAACTTCAGTATTGAAATTTGTATTATATGTAACTGTTACTGATATTATTTTTGGTCCAGTTCTCTTTTGTAGATCTAATTTCCTTGACAATATCAAAACCATTGTATTTCAGAACGCTGTCAGCCCAACAGAGTGCTTTCTTCAACATCTCACCTATCCAGAAGAGGAAGAGACAGCCGTGGACCTTCGACAAAGTGCCGTGGTTGTCATGTCTCATCTTGACCGGCTGGCTTCACCTTACCTGCCAGTCAGTTCAACTCAGAAGGTCTGTCTCAAACATCATCAGTTTATTTTTGGTTCAACATTGAAGCTCAATTATTTTGATCTCACAAGAATATTAGGCCCCTAAAGCATTAAGAATTCCTAGCTATCATTTTTCAGTGTGAATTTTTAAGCAAGTGTAAAAGGTTTTCTATCTTTTAAATTAGCTCGTGTGATTTACCCGTTCAACTCGCACATTTTGTCTCCAATCCATTTATCCCAGTCCCACTGCCAGGCGGTGACCCAAGAAATCATTGGCCTGGGATGGTTGTCATGGGCAAACAGCACCAACGCCACAGCTCCCCACATTCTGGAGGTCTTCAATGACCTCGGCGGTGTCCAGCAGATTGTCTGCGCTGAGAGGTGTCTGCTGGCACTGACCAGGAATGGCAGAGTGTACACAATGTACTACAGCTCAGACACACAGGTAGGGGGCTCCACTGCATAGTTATTTATAGCTCACTGCAGGGTTGTGATTCAGATTATGTGTCTGTTTGGATCTGTATTTTGTAAAGGAGTGATGATATGGAAATAGGGGATTGTGTTATTTGAGCTAAGGTCCCAGGCTAAAGTAAGTCACCAAAAACTGTGGATGGAGTTTTGTCTTCAAGGTTAACAGAAGTGCATTGTGGGGGATGGTTGGTATTTAAAGAACAAAATCTAAGTTAAATATAACAACCCAGGGATGATGATCGATGGCTCTGGAGAGACGAATGAACATCTAGCTATTTGGGAAGGGGCACTATATGCTAAAAGGAAGGTGTACAAAATCCTACAAAAGCAAAAACCTACTTTTGATGAAAGTTGTCAGGAAATTGAAGGGGGAGGGTGGTGTTAATTAATGTACCCATAGGATGCGAGTGAGTGATGAAAGTAAAGATGTTTTCATAATATAACATCCATTAGAGGCAGCTGAGAGCCAATCAAGATGAGAGGGAAAGAGGTCTGGCTTATGTTGCATACATAATAGTTTATGTCATAAAGTAAAATCAAATTTAGCCTTAAGTTTTATCATACTGTCTAGTGTTTGAGCAAGCACCCCCCCCCCCCCCCCCCCCCCCCCCGCATCCAGTCTGGTTTAACAACAAGCCTCATCTTGTCTTGAAACACTCCGACAAAAACATTGTTAAGTCATTATGGAATAAAGTGGATTTCATTAGGACAAAATCAGTTTCTCCCCAAGCTCTTCTTGTTTGGCCTATAAGTGCAATCACACTACCCTGAAGCTGAGTAATTTAGTAGAGACTATGAGTGAAGATCTCGAGGCATACCGCTATATAGTATCAATCCTCACAAACTGTGGAGGATATAGTGACATATGAAGATAAATTTGTTAAATTTCTCCTCAGTCCCCGCAACCAGTGGTAGGCTTTGGTGAGAAGGAAATTGTTAAACTGGCAGCACATGCGGATGGCAAACATTACCTGGCCCTGACAAGTGAAGGAGATGTGTACTCATGGGGTAACGGGGATGGTGGACGACTGGGTCATGGGGACAACATGTAAGTCATTAAATATTAGATCTGTTAGCCCTGACTTGTTCATTAGATATGTGCCTTGTGTGTGTGGATTCATTAAATATATGTTCATTAAAACAGTGCTTTTCTGTGTGGAGTCTTTGAATAGTTACTGAAATGGTAACAGAAATTTGAAAAGATAAAAGACTCTTTCAAGCATGCATCAAACATGTTAATAAATATCTGCAAACAAAAAGCAATGTATATAGTCATTTTGGCTTACATTCTTTCAGTTCCAGCGATGAGCTAACATAATATATAACAGCCCTGTCCTCATTCTTTCAGTTCCAGAGATGAGCTAACATATATAACAGCCCTGTCCTCATTCTTTTAGTTCCAGGGATGAGCTAACATAGATAACAGCCCTGTCTTCATATTCTTTCAGTTCCAGAGATGAGCCAACACTTATAACAGCCCTGTCTGGCAAGCACATTGTCCAGATCTGTGCTGGGAGTACCTACAGTGCCGCCATCTCCTCCAGCGGAGACCTTTACACCTGGGGGCGTGGCAACTATGGACGACTTGGTCATGGCTCTAGTGAAGACCAGTGCTACCCCAGTATTGTTGCCGCACTCAAGGGTCACAGGGTCATCGATGTAGCCTGTGGGAGTGGGGATGCCCAGACACTAGCAGTTACTGACACAGGTATTCCTTGTTACAGATAAAGGTGTTCATTGTTACAGACACAGGTATAGATTGTTACAGACTCAAGTCTTCATTGTAACAGATTCAGATATTCATTTTTAGACACAGGTATTCATTCCTACAGACACAGATATTCAGTGTTACAGATACAGTTATCTATTATTACAGACACAGGTATTCATTGTTACAGACACATTTCATTATTACAGACACAGTGATTCATTGTTAACTTGATCTACTAAGATGTAACATTCTATTGCTAGGAGCTGTGTACTCATGGGGGGACGGGGATTATGGCAAACTGGGTCGAGGTGGGAGCGATGGCTGCAAGGCACCAAAGGTCATTGAGAAGCTCATGGGACAGGACGTTGTCAAAGTCTACTGTGGGGCACAGTTTAGTCTGGCCCTGACTAAGTCTGGCAACATCTTTTCCTGGTTAGTTTTTGCAGTCAGTTATCTTTTCCTGGTTAGTTTTAGCAATCAGTTATTTTTTCTGGTTAGTTATCAGTTATCTTTTCCTGGTTAGTTTTAGCAATCAGTTATTTTTTCCTGGCAAGTCTTACCAATGTGAATGTTTTCAAGAATTGCACATTCTAAAATCTAAAGCTCTCTTCTTGTTTACATTATTTTTCAGAAAGACTTCATGAAATATTTCTAAACTCGTAAATGTCTTTTAACTAAGTAATTTAGCTTTGTGAACCAATTTAAGCATACAACTAATGAAGTTTAAATGAATATTAAATGGTATGATAAATCCTTGCTTTTGTTATAATGTGAGGGACAAGCTTTAAATATCTTATTCTACTATTTCCTTGATTTTTAAAAAATGTATACATTTGATCAGGGGCAAAGGAGACAATTTTCGACTGGGCCACGGCTGTGAGGAGCACATGAGGCACCCCAAGCAGATGGAAGGATTGAATGGTAAGAGAGTCAGGAGTCTCGCCATAGGCTCCATGCACTGCGTGGCTGTCACAGAGGAGGGAGAGGTCTACAGCTGGGGCAAAAATGACCAGGGTCAGTTAGGGGATGAAAGCCATGCCAATGTGACGGAACCAACTCTTATCCCAGGGCTGGAAGGGAAACATATCGTTGGTGCTTCCTGTGGTCCATCTCAGGTATGCCTTGCATTAACTATAGGGATTATTTTGTCAGTGTACATTTTCTAATTAAGCCCAAGTAAATAATGGTAGTAATGTCATTAACATGCATATGCTACCACAAAGTAATATTGAAACTAGTGGAGAGCTAGTTCATCTAAAGCATAACCAAATAGAGCTAAAGCTGACCAAGGTATCTAAATTGTGTAGGAAGTGATTTTAAGCCATTTTATTTTAAATAAGCTTTCAGAGAGAGGGAGGGGGAATTGGGGTAGGAAAGCGTGAGAGGGTTAGGGAGGGGGTGTGAGGGAGAGTGAGAGAGGTAGGGTGAAAGTGTGGTAATGAGAGGGTGTGAAAGAGAGGGAGGGAGAAAGTGGGGTAGGGAGAGAGTAGTTTATGTTTGACCATAGATGTGTAGATTCAATGCCCAGATCATATGTCAGCTAGTGTCATTCCTTCTTGCAGAGTTTTTTCTGGTCATCTAGCGACCAGTGGACAGTGGGCTCCAGGATCCCCTTCATCGTGGACCTGTCCAAAGGAACATTCGAACAGATTGACGAGCTCTTGAGGGAGGTCTGTGATGGTATGGATGGCCGTAGTGACTGGCCTCCTCCACAAGACAAGGAATGCATTGCTGTGGCAGGATTGAACTTGCTCAATTTACAGGTACAGCTCTTAGCGGCAAATAGATTGGTCTTCATAACATATCCACTGTCAGTCTTCCCACTTCCTTTCTTTTCCTCTGCATTGTTGTGAGAGGACTTTGCCCTTACTTTTTCATTTCTTTCCATTGACTCATTTAATAGGCAGGATATTAATTATTAATTATAGACACATTTAATTTAAATTTATGCAGTTTTAATTTTTCTGATGAAGCCATTAGCTGATATGTTTTCATTTATATTTTGTCGTATAATTACAGCACAACTATACTGTTTGGCTTCACACATTTTGTTTGTATGTTATTAATCTAAAAGCAGTGTTAGTGGATTATTTGATCTTTTGAAAAGTCAATTGCCAGACAATAGAAAGCTCAAGATGTCTTTTAAAGCAACGTTTACAAAGCTGGTCGGTCACATCAAAGGGCAAACTAAATGTTGACAGTTTAATTATTGCCCTCAGCTCCATGCTGCTATTTGTCAGACTGAGGATGTGGAGCACCTGGGTCTTCATCAAGGGACAACACTGGTGGAGAGTTTGAAGCAGAGGGTTGTCACCCTTTCTAGTAACAATGGGGTGATCGGCACTGTTCAGAGAGCGGCTCAGGCGGCACTGCAGAGTGGCTGGTCTTTGCTGCTGCCAACACCAGAGGAAAGGGCCAGGGCTTTGTCCTCACTGCTTTCATCAGGAGGTAAGGGCTTAACTCATTCACTCTCTTCATCTTTTGATTGAATTAAGATTATCCCCCATGGGCTGTCACATTCGAAACATGATACCTTAAAATTTATATAAAACTAGTTGCACGTATTTTCCTTGGACCCCTTCTGGTATATATTGAATCATTGGTTGACTTAACTATCATATGAAATTGTTTTGTACGAATTCAAACAATAGTACGTCGGCATAGCTCAAACCCTGCATTTGTATAAAAGAACTTGATGCCTTAACCCAATGCTACGCGATACCTATAAAGCAGTTTACCGACATTCTTGATATTAAGTTTAAGTGGTAAGATTCTACCTCATACTGACACCACTGATGATATTAAGTTCATTGACAGTATTCCACCCACTGGCTCCACTGTTCATGTTAAGTTTAAGTAACAAACCCTTTTAAGCAACGAATGGTTTATTAGTGAATTAAAATAATTACACATGTTTGATCTGAATTTTTTTTTTGTTGTCATTCAGGTAGAGACATGACAGTTATGTCAAGTGGTCAGAGGTTCATGACAGACCTTCTGGTCAGTTCCTTGATGTCAGATGGCGGCCTTGAGACTGCATTGCACCTGGCCATTAAGGCTGAGGTCAAGGGCATTGATGACTCTAAGGTAATTTTAAGGCCACATACATTTTTTGAATCCATTATAAAAGGTTTGTATACCCAAAATCAAGATTATTTGACAGCTGTATATTTACAGCAGCATTAATGCTTATAGAGAGTTTTTTGTCTGAAGCTTGTGTATGATTAGATTTATTGAGATGGCATATGAAAAAAAAGGCAAAAATGTTTTCCATGTACCTCATATTGTTGCCTCTCATACTGTTGCCTCTCATATTGTTGCCTCTTTAGGAAAAAGAAAGTGATATGAAGCTCAAAGAGGATGGTGGGCAGGAGAAGGACAAGAGAGGGGAGGCGACCGGTGATGCCAAGAGTGATGACCCTTTGTTGGATGTTCAACTCGGTGATGGGTCCGACGACAGGGAGGCAACCATTCCATTGCTGCAGCTCATTCACCAGCTGTTCAGGTGCTGCATCAGCCATGCATAGTTGTACCATCACACTCTTCTCACACACTCATGGTCTCGGTGTAAATGGCCAGATTTAGTCATTTAGTTTGACATGTAATTCATTTTCTATTAACATTTTGTTCACTTCTCTCTTTTTCTTTCTATGATATATTAAGAGCCAACGATCAATTTATTGCTCATTCTGGCTCCTATGCTCATTATTTAGTATCCAGTAATATTGTGCACATTTTCATTTGACCCTATCAGAAATTCCTCAACCCACACACTCACCAAGCTACAGGAGGAAGCCAAATGCGGTGGGATCAAAACCCCGGAGGCTGAAACTCCCGAGAATTCCCCGTCCCTTGACCTACTTTTACAGTTCCAGAGACTCCTCATCTCCAGGATATTCCACAGTAACAGCATGAGTGAGACCCAGTCCCCGACATCTGTGGGCGGGGACAGCAAGCAGATGGGCGGCAAGGAGGGCACCGCTGGAGAAATAGGTCAGCACATGTTGCTCTTGTGTCGCCCTTGGTCCGCAAGGGTTAACATGGGGCTGTGTTAGTTTCAAAGTATTCAAAAGGTTTCAAGGATTTCTAAAAAAACTGGTTATAAGTTGTCTTCAGCTCCTGTTAGACTTTTGTTAAACCTTTGTAGCTGAGTGTTTCAAGTTGTACGATTGGAATGTTAGATAAGCACTTTGTAGCTGAGTGTTTCAAGTTGTACGATTGGAATGTTAGATAATCACTTTGTAGCTGAGTGTTTCAAGTTGTACGATTGGAATGTTAGATAAGCACTTTGTAGCTGAGTGTTTCAAGTTGTACGATTGGAATGTTAGATAAGCACTTTGTAGCTGAGTGTTTCAAGTTGTACGATTGGAATGTTAGATAAGCACTTTGTAGCTGAGTGTTTCAAGTTGTACGATTGGAATGTTAGATAAGCACTTTGTAGCTGAGTGTTTCAAGTTGTACGATTGGAATGTTAGATAAGCACTTTGTAGCTGAGTGTTTCAAGTTGTACGATTGGAATGTTAGATAAGCACTTTGTAGCTGAGTGTTTCAAGTTGTACGATTGGAATGTTAGATAATCACTTTGTAGCTGAGTCTTTCAAGTTGTACGATTGGAATGTTAGATAATCACTTTGTAGCTGAGTCTTTCAAGTTGTACGATTGGAATGTTAGATAAGCACTTTTAACATTTTTATTTTTTTAACTTATCAATATTAAATAACTGAACAGTATGGGGAATGTTTTCTGCCAGGCTATGAAATGCTTGGAGCCGCCTCACTGTTGCGCAAGTACTGCAGCCTTCTGGTGGGCCATGTCTCCAACATTCTGCCTACTGCCACCAGCGTAGGAGAGATGAGCGCACGTAGCTTTGCCAATGTCACGGCCATAATAAACAGAGATGTCACAGGTGAGGGGATTGGAATCACAAACAAGAATTTTTTTCAAACGTTGTATCTTATTTCGATGCTTTGTATGGACTTGCTGTCTTTGCCGTTTCTTACTAGTATTTTTATTGTTTAAAATGTTAGAAAGGAAAGTCTCAGCTCATGATCTGTAATGAAAGTCAACCATAATTAGTTTCTTTTGACATTTTGGGATGATGTCTTTTTGGGAATGACTATGAAATACTGTTTAAAAATAAAAAGATTCTGCATCTTATTCTCCATTATAACATAATAACTAGGAATGTAAACATGACCTATAATCAGCAATGTAAACATGACTTACAAGCTTCAGTGTCAACTGGACCTACAAGTTGCAATATAAACATGACCTATAATTAGCATTGTAAACATGACCTTTAAGCTAGCCAAGTAAACATGACCTATAACCAGCAGTGTAAACATGACCTATAACCAGCAGTGTAAACATGACCTATAACCAGCAGTGTAAACATGACCTATAACCAGCAGTGTAAACATGACCTATAACCAACAGTGTAAACATGACCTATAACCAGCAGTGTAAACATGACCTATAACCAGCAGTGTAAACATGACCTATAACCAGCAGTGTAAACATGACCTATAACCAACAGTGTAAACATGACCTATAACCAGCAGTGTAAACATGACCTATAACCAGTAGTGTAAACATGACCTATTCTGTGTTGGCCAGGGGTCCTACTACCTGAGATGGTAACATGCCTAGTCCTGCTGCAGCTGAGGTGTCCCCAGGTGATACAGGTGTCCAGGGCTGGTCAGCTGCTCTCACAGCTACTGGATGACCTGGACTACTTCAACCACCTGGCCCCAGGGACTGACAAAGAGGACACTGAAGACCTATCATGGCCTGGTGTCTGGAGTAAGTTGCACACATTTAATGTTGATTTTCTTGGACATGTTAAAACAAATAAAAAAACCACAGTTAATAGGCGGTGGGTCCTTTGTTTTGTTATCTCTTCCAGCTCAAGTTAGGAATAAGAAACTAGTGCATAGTTTACATAGGATTTAACATTTACCACTGAATACTGCATTCTGTAATTGAAAATATTTTTAAAGCTAGAAACCCTGTGGTAATAACTTGGAAGGGGTTACGCATTGTGCTTAACTACATTTAGAAGACATTAAAAAAAAAAGTAAACTAAATTTTTAGCAATTTTTAAAATGTTTCATTGTCATCAAAAGTTTGTTGTTTTTAAATGCTCTCCACACTAAAATGTGTGGCACGGCCGTGGGTGAAACAGTTGTGTTTAAGGCTACTACTACAATAATGTTATCTTAAAGATTAATGTTGGTTGTGTTTAAGGCTACTACTACAATAATGTTATCTTAAAGATTAATGTTGGTTGTGTTTAAGGCTACTACTACAATAATGTTATCTTAAAGATTAATGTTGGTTGTGTTTAAGGCTACTATTATAAAAGATTAATGTTGGAAGATAAAAGTTGTAAACACAGTAGGCATTTTGCGCTGACATGGACAGGTTACAGTCTTGAGAAGTACAGTATGCATGCCACGGATGATGTTCAGATGATCCGCAAGTCAGACCTGGAGAACCACAACAAAGACGGCGGACTGTGGGTGGTGATTCACGGGAAGGTCTACAGCGTGCAGTCTTTTATAGCCCAGGCGCCGTGCGGGGCTGAAACCATTCAGGAATGGGCAGGTAATTCTAAAATCTAAAATAAACCAATTACACCTCATTTAACACTGCATACTCTGCTTCTACTATCATTATCATTCCAACTTTTATCTAGCTTAATCACATTTTTACTTTTGTGTACAATTTCTCTGTAAAACACATTTTTTCTACATTATAGCTCTGATACATGGAAATTCTCTGGTTTTGAGGTTGGAAATATTAAAAATTATTGTTAAAAATCTACATTTCACATACTGCTACACAGTTTGTGTATAGATGTTTGGATTGCTTCACCTAGCGCTATAAAAAGGTTGTACTATTGTATAACAAGCCACTTATGCCATTCTAAAATATTTTCAAGGGCGAGATGCATCTGCTGCTTTTGAGGCTGCCCACCACTCAGAGGAAGCAAGGGAGATTATGAATTGTTTATGCGTTGGACAGTACATTGATGTACGTACCATAGGCATTAGTGTTTATTTATTGCCTTTGTTAGGACAATTACGCTGATATTTTGTTAGGACAATTACGTTGATATTTTGTTAGGACAATTACGCTGATATTTTGTTAGGACAATTACGTTGATATTTTGTTAGGACAATTACGCTGATATTTTGTAAGGACAATTACGTTGATATTTTGTTAGGACAATTACGCTGATATTTTGTTAGGACAATTACGTTGATATTTTGTTAGGACAATTACGCTGATATTTTGTTAGGACTAATACACTATTTACTAGACCATTGCTCTTGTTAGAGCTTGACCTGAGAAGTCTGAGTTTTAAAGTTTGTAGTAATTTTTTTTTTGGCAATCTGATCTATTGGGGGCTGACATAATGCCACATGGTGAGACTGAAATTTTACAAATATAAGTGTTTATATAATTAAATAAGAAATTACTGGACTTGACCAAGAATACTTCAGGGGGCCCCCCCTGTATGAAATATCCCAGTCAGGGGCCCCCTGCCGTATGAAATATCCCAGTCAGGATCCCCCTGCTGTATGAAATATCCCAGCCTTTAGTTTCTGTAGCACATGCTCTTTCAATGTGATCCTTGCCAACATTTGTGTGTTTGATCTAATTCAGCCTGAGAAAGATGTTGTACAGAGTCCTGGCAGTGGTTCCATGTCCTCTCCACTGATAGACACAGAAAGGACACTTGCTGTCCTACTGGGACTTAATGCAGCTGAGCAGGTAATGAACAGAACAGTGTCATTCCTAGAGGGCTTGATCCTTTATAGGGATTATATCAAACAGCGCTAGCTACCAATGTTTTGTGTCATTCCTAGAGGACTTGATCCTTTATAAGGTTTATATCAAACAGCGCTAGCTACCAATGTTTTGTGTCATTCCTAGAGGACTTGATCCTTTATAGGGTTTATATCAAACAGCGCTAGCTACCAATGTTTTTGTCTATGAGTAAAGTCTTTAAGAAACTTTTTCTATGTGACTCTCATCATTATTTTTGTCTGTACAATTGGGCGGTTTGAGCCTTTTAACAATGACCTAAATACTGGGTACCGTGTCAGACTTTATTTAATGTGCTCTTTGACTGTGACAGGTACGCAGTACACCTCTGTCCCTGGATGAGCTGGAGAGTAAACAGTGGCTCCAAGCCGAGTTCTTCAGTGGAGGGCTGCAGCTGTTAAACCAAGGAGGATTCGATGAGGAGAAGGGGGAGAGCCGAAGTGCCAGCAGCTGTAACACGCCAGGTGAGAGGATGACACATGGAGAAACGTTTATTCCACGCATTACTGTGTGCTGTGTTTTCCTGTTTGTTCATGAGAATATTCTTGTGCTTTCCTGTTTGTTCATGAGAATATTCATGTGCTTTCCTGTTTGTTCATGAGAATATTCTTGTGCTTTCCTGTTTGTTCATGAGAATATTCTTGTGCTTTCCTGTTTGCTTTGCTTTAGAAATTTTCCTGATACAAAGAAACTCTGGACCTTTCAATCTTTGATGAAACTTAATGATTTTCAATGGTTTTTTAATAACTATATATAAATTACTATCAGCTACATTTACCTAAACATTGTCTGGCCTGAAAATATTATTTAAGATCTTTGGGTACAGAATAAAATGTCATTAAATTTACTTCACTTGCTCATAAAAGATGTAATGAAGCTAATCAAATCAATACATTGTAAGCCAAGTGAGGGTCAAAATGAACTAAAGCCTTAACGTCCATTGATTGTCATCACAGGAGGAGACCAGGGCAAGACAAAAGTTTTGAGTTGTCTAATGCAAGAGTCATGCAGTTTACTTTCTTCACCAGGTGCCACGCCAACCTCAGAGCACTGTAACGTGCCCCAGCATGCAGTGGACAAGGAAAGACGTTTTCACGCCGAGCAGGACAGCACAGACACGGCCAGACCTTTCCTCCATGCCCTGGCCGAGTCCAGAATTCAAGATCCAACTGTCAAGGTCATTTCTATAATCCTTTTATTTTTGTAAGAAAAAACTCAGACATTTGATGATGTGTTGGTCTAATATCAATAATGGCAATCTGGAATAACAGGAATAAAGGTGCCATCAATACTGTCCGTTGCCAAATAATTTCAAAGCATTATTTATAGTTATTCAAATTCCAGGAACTGACCAAGTTAGTGTGGGCTTCTTCTAGATATACTGAATTGTAATTAACATTGTTCATGTGTTTTCTCTTGAGATGCCATAAACACAAATAACAACAATGACGGTGATCCATCTGCTTTGGGCCAGCTCTGAGTGTGTCCCATTTCCCTGGCTGCATGTTGATGATTTCTCTGTCTCGTCCTCAGATGTTCCTGGCTCTAGTGGACAAGTACTGCAGGACCCACCACCTTCTCTTTCCATTTGATTTCCCATCAGACCATCCAGTGGAGGAGGTTGGAAGGTGGATAGTTTTTTTAGTTTATCTTACTATTGGACTCTTACCATTTGTGATGGACTAAAACTAGTTGTGTACTTGTTTTAAACATACAGATAAACCAGAGGGTAAAATTTAAAGTTATTTTTTGAGACCTTCTCTGCCTACAATTGGTTCAAGAGTCAATTTTTTTATACTCATGCAGCTTATTTAGGTATATTCTGATACAGCTTTGATAAGGTATATACTGATACAGCTTTGATAAGGTATATATACTGATACAGCTGTTTCGCCCCCGGTTCTTACCAGGGTTGGTTAGCTTCGTTTGTCTACAGGTTATAGTAGTAACTTCACAAACCAATGGCTCATAGAATAAAGTAGCTTTATTAACACAACCAAACTACATCATCAACTGCCATTACTCAAACACAACAAATTACACAACGATATTTCATTTCCCCTTACGCACAATGCGTCACAAAATACCAAACATTTAATAGCAACATCTACCCAAATACTCCCCAAACAACAAGCAATCACAATATACATTGAACTCCTTAACAACAGCTTTGTTAGGTATATTGATACAGCTTTGATAGGGTATATATTGATATAGCTTAGGTATATATTGACACAGCTTTGATAGGGTATATATTGATACAGCTTTGATAGGGTATATATTGATACAGCTTTGATAGGGTATATATTGATGCAACTTTGGTATATATTGATACAGCTTTGATAGGGTATATATTGATGCAACTTAGGTATATATTGATACAGCTTAGGTATATATTGATGCAGCTTAGGTACATATTGATACAGCTTAGGTATATATTGATGCAGCTTAGTTATATATTGATGCAGCTTAGGTATATATTGATGCAGCTTAGGTATATATTGATGCAGCTTAGGTATATATTGATGCAGCTTAGGTATATATTGATACAGCTTTGATAGGGTATATATTGATGCAGCTTAGGTATATATTGATGCAGCTTAGGTATATATTGATGCAGCTTAGGTATATATTGATGCAGCTTAGTATATATTGATACAGCTTTGTTAGGTATATACTGATACAGCTTAGTTAGGTATATATTGATACAGCTTAGTTAGGTATATATTCATACAGCTTAGTTAGGTTTATACTAATACAGCTTTGATAGGGTATACACTGATAAAGCTTAGATTGGGTATAAACTAATACAGCTTTGATAGGGTATACACTGATAAAGCTTAGATTGGGTATATATTCACAATGTTTTTGTCTTGAAGCTTAGATAGGGTATATACTAGTACAGCTTAGATAGTGTGTATGTGAATGTCTAAAAGGTAAAGAAAATGATCACATGTTTATACCATAGTCTACTAAAGCACTGTCTAAAAAAGTTTGCATATAATGTGTCTGGGGATGAAATTATGTGTACAGAAACAGTGGGGGTTGGAGTAACTGTATGATTTGATTTTCACAACTTAAATATTTGACATTTTGAAATGTAGTATTTATTATCTTTAGAGCCGTAAAGAATCTCAAAACCATTGTGCTCATTTAAAATCTAAATTAAATTTCCTTAAAAATTGCCAAGATTATTAAATGAGTCATATATTTCTGTTTCAGGCTGTTAATGGCAGTATTATTGAAACACTGTGATCTTGGCTATGTGGTGCTCAGTATGGTGGAACACGGACAAGGAGAGCACGGGTCCAAGCTGACAATGCCCAAATCTATGGCAGAACTATGTCGAGTTGTCTGCCAGACCAAACGGTCGCTCATAAAGGTAAACTGTTGGACATGAACATCTGTCAGGGCATTAGTTGATGAAATACAGTAGTATCTAGCTATTTACAGTCCTATAATACTACAGTCTGTTCTATCTGAAATAGCTATCAATATGCAGTACAATAATGCTACAGTCTGCTCTAACTGAAGTAGCTATCCATATGCAGTCAAATAATGCTACAGTCTGTTCTAACTGAAGTAGCTATCAATATGCTGTCCAGTAATGCTACACTTTGTTCTAACTGAAGTAGCTATCAATATGCAGTCCCATAATGCTACATCTGTACTAAATGAATTAGCTATCAATATGCACTCCAATAATACTGTAGTCACATAATGGACTAAGGATGACTATTGGAATAGCTTGTATCTGCAAATAGCTTGTATTTTCCCTGTATTTTTTAAGATTTGGGGTTAGCTTAACGTTATGCAATGATTTCTATTTGTATTAAATGTCTGATCTGGACTGAAAATTTGTTAAAAATATATGTATCGGATTTAAGATGTGATGAGGGAAAGGCATTTGTAAGTTAGAATGAAACTTGCACCATGTGCTGTGTAATGACCTGTTGAGTCTGTAAGTTAGAATGAAACTTGCACCATGTGCTGTGTAATGACCTGTTGAGTCTGTAAGTTAGAATGAAACTTGCACCATGTGCTGTATAATGACCCGTTGAGTCTGTAAGTTAGAATGAAACTTACTATGTAATTACCTGCTGAGTCTGAAGCCCATCACCATCTTGTCCCTGTCAGGCTCACCAAGACCAAGGCAGATCCTACAAGGAAGTGTGCGCCCCTGTCATAGAACGCTGTCTCTTCTTGTTCAATGAGCTCAGACCCGCAGCTGGGGACGAGATCAACATGTTTACCAGGTCCAAGCTACTCAAGTCTGTTCCCAGGTGGAGAGAGGTCATAGCCAGGATTGTGGAAGACAAGAAGAAATCCAAGAGTAAGTCACAACACAGAATGAAAAGAAGCCTTTAAACACCTGTATCTTAAGTCATACCTGTTTTTAAACACCTGTATCTTAAGTCATACCTATTTTTAAACATCTGTATCTTAAGTCATACCTGTTTTTAAACACCTGTATCTTAAATCATACCTGTTTCTAAAGACATGTATCTTGAGTCATACTTGTTTTTAAACACATGAAGTTAAAAGTGAACTATTTTAGTGAAGCTATTGTTTTATTGATGCAGTTCTTTGCATGCAGGTGTTTGTAAATATTATGTGTTGTGTTTAATGTTTTAGGCACCGGGGGTCTAATTAATTAATTTCTTGTTTGTGTATTTGTATATCTGTGGACAAGAATGTATTTTTAAAAATAATCGCAATGCTTTCAGACATTATCCTTCTTGAAACTTTTTGTCTCAGGTGAAACCGTGAGCCAAGACAATAACGCTAATGACACTGATGATGACGACAAGGACACAGAAGATGCAGACTCACTGCTGGGGGAGGCGGTGGGAGGGGAGGATGACGGGAAGGACAATGAGGAAAAAGAGGGTCTCTCTCAGGGGAAGGAGGTCAAGGAAGATGACGAGGGAGAAGAAAATGATGAAAAGGATAAAAGAAATGTGTCACCAGACGGCGACAGCTCTGGTGCCGGGGAGATCTTGGCACTGGACGACATCAAAGTGGAGGAGAAAGACACCAACTTTAATGAGCAGGGTTTGAGCAATGACAGAAGAAATGACACACATGAAGGGAAAACACCCAGAGATAAGGCTGTGAGTGGCTTGGAGAGTAGGGGAAAAAGCAAACCTTATGCTTTTGATTCTTTTCCAATGTTTGGATTGTCTTTCCAATGTTTGTATTGTCTTTTCAATGTTTACATTGTCTTTTCAATGTTTACATTGTCTTTCCAATGTTTACATTGTCTTTCCAATGTTTACATTGTCTTTTCAATGTTTACATTGTATTTCCAATGTTTACATTGTCTTTCCAATGTGTACATTGTCTTTTCACTGTTTACATTGTCTTTTCACTGTTTACATTGTCTTTAATTTAAACATCTTTTCACTGTTTACATTGTCTTTTCAATGTTTACATTGTCTTTCCAATGTTTACATTGTCTTTAGCTGTTGAAGGTCTTTTACAAAAACTATTTCTTTTAACCTATTCTTTTCCCTTCAATAATAAGAAATATCCGGTTCCCACTTGTTTTAAACTCAGGTGTATTCTACCTAAACATTACTTTACTTTAATTTGTTTCAATCTCTATTTTAACTTCCGAAACTTCTTACATCTCTGATTCAGGATGACCCGTGGGAGCAGGTGGTCAAAGTTGTCACCAACTCTCAGAAGATGCGCTGGCTGAGGCAGAGGCTGACCGGCTGCAAGGCAGAGATGGGCCTAATCAATCGTATTGTGGACTTTGTGTTGTACCCACATCCGGTGGACATTGAAAAACTGCGGAGGTCCCTCCATCACCAGGTCCGTTTAAAGTGATATAGCCTGAAAATAGCATTTCATTGCTGAGTACAAATTTTTCTGTAGCTCTTATCATTTTTTATGATTGATTTTAAATCAATCAATTTATGTGATTGTGAATCTGTCCAATAGAGAAATATTATTTATAAAGTTCTGGTTAATTTTTTAAAAATATTCTGACCATCTGTTTAAATGTATTGTTTGACAAGCTTATTTTAAAAGTTTTTATTACTTGATAACTCTAAAGTTGTCTGCTATTTGTTAAACATGTTGTTTAGAGATTTTTATTAGTAAATCTATGTCAAATGTCACAGGTCACCAGAGCAGAGCTGAGATTACAAGGTATCCAGAATATTTTGACCCTAGTCCACAAAGGTCACTTAATCCCATCTGTCAAGTACAGTGTCCTCTGTGGCTGGCAGGGGCTCCTTACAGTTGGCACCAAGCACCAGTGAGTGGACGATCAGTTCATAGAAACTGGCCATTTATCAAGTCACATTATTAATTCGGATGTGAAATAACTGTTATTTTAAAGGAATGAACCCTTTTTAAACCTGACTCCCTTGTCAGATGGAAATAATGCCTCTGTAGAAAGGTTTTTCCATACTGAGCGGGGTGCCATTCCCATGGGGTGCGTACAAATGTAAACTAGGAAAAGGGGGGGGGGGGGGCAAAAAAGATTACATCTTGGTGTGTGCCTATATTTTCTTTTTAAATGGGGGGTCTCCAAGAATATCTTTTTTAAAATTCCCATGGGGTGCGTACAAATGTAAACTAGGAAAAGGGGGGGGGGGGGCACAAAAGATTACATCTTGAAGGGGGCCTATATTTTTTTTTTAAATGGTGGGTCTCCAAGAATATCTTTTTTAAAGTAGGGTGCAGCAGTGTACAATTTTTAGGCCACTGCTATAGAATAAGCCAGGCCAGGTTGAAATATATATGTATAGAATAACCTAGGCCAGTTTGAAATATATATGTATAGAATAAGCCAGGCCAGATTGAAATATATATGTATGGAATATTCATCTGTTGGTTCTTAATCTTTTAATTCAAAATGTAGAAAATAAGCTAATGCTTCTAAGCTTTAGTGATACCTTATGTCCCTGTTGAAGGCTACTCCCGACAATTACTCTATAACATTCTTTACAAAAGTCTTTGACAAGGCCGATAACCCGCCTGATAGAATCTGCTCAAGTTAACTATGTTTCAAGGCATAAATCTACCTATCTTCAGTTCCCCGCTGCCCCACTGTCTGACTGACATAAAGCTGATACCTCCCTGTGACCGCATCCTCCTGGAGATGACCTTTGCTGAGCTGTACAGATGGGCCATACACGAACTTCGTCATTGTGTCATCCAGGCAGACTTGATGTTCAAACGACGGGGCATTAACCCAGCAGTCATGAATCTTTCTAGTACAAAGGTAATAAAATATAGGGGGGCTCTCTTATAATAATAATAATAATAATTAAGTGTATTTGAAAATCACGCTTCATCCCCAAAGGCTCAAAGCGCGGTACAAAGTCAACCATATTAAAAGAGAAATGAACAAATCTTGAATTATACCACATTGAAATACAAAACACATTACAAAAACTACACACGAGAAAACCCATTCTAAGTTTTTCATCCCTTGCAACCATAAACAACACAGGCCACTATACATCTAGGAGATAATAGCTAGCTGGAAAAGATGGTAGACAACATCACCTCAGCAGGTGTTTGCGAAATAGATGTGTTTTCAAATCAGTAATACGAAAGTAATAAAATATTTGGGGAATTTCTAATATAAATGTAATTTGGAAACATTCTAAAACAAATTTAATCTATAGGGAATATCTATTACAAAGTCATCATTAGGGGGCTTTTAAGAACAAAGGTAATCTATGGGAGAACTTTCTAATACAAAGATGATGCTTGTTGAAATTTCTAGTAAAAAGGTAATAAAGGATGACTTTCTATTTCAAAGATATCTTTGTTGAAATGAATAGTATAAAGAGAATATATGGAGGACTAACTAGTCCAAAGGTTATATATGACTAAATTAGTATAACATTTTATGTGGTATGACATTCCTGCCTGAGATTTCTTTCTTTCTATTCTAATTGTATATATATCTATCTTTCTAAGATCTTATTTTTGCTAGTTTTATTTATAAAAATATTATTACATGTTCCTTTCTTTGTTTTCCCTGGGCAGGAGCGGCTGAGCCTGGGTGCCCTCCCCTGCTCCAGGTTTATACTTGCCACACTTGGCCTCCTGGTCACTGAGCACTACTCTAACAGTCTAAGTCTTCTGTTGAACTCAGGAGTTCTGGCCCTTACACAGAGTATACTCAGACTTGCAGGTGAAGAGAAATTAATTTTTTTTTTAACATCTTTTAATTTAACAGAAAAAAAAGCTGACATTTGATTCTTTCAACCTAGCAAACTATTTATGACATTTAATTTTTTTATTGTGTGTGATGGCCTAGCATGCACAATAATAAAATTTGCTTTTTACTATAAAAGCTAAAAAAATCCATATAGTGATATATGTTTTTCTACATACATCTATTTCTTGAACTTTAATTTAGGAACATCTAATTGTTTTCACATTAATTTACTTAAGAATCCAGCAGTTTTGATGTTGTTAAATTCCATACTAATATTTCACTATCATGTGTGTTCCAGGTCCAGACCCAGACATTCCATTGGCTGACAACTGCAGCACTGTGTTTACAATCCCTGAGGAACAGTTCAACAAGAAGACCACGCAGTCTATGCCCATGGCTGGACCGGAACTGGCTGCCATGATGAAAGTTGGCACAAGGGTCATGCGAGGAGTTGACTGGAAGTGGGGAGATCAGGTAATTTGTAGGTTACCATTTGGCGGGCTTGTTTCTTAACTCCTGTATCACTAGTCAGTTGTGCATCAAAATCATTGTTGCATTAAGATTTATCTAATTTTTAATTGAAATATGGTTGCTGTCCAATTTGTTGTAAGCATTGCAAGACAAAATTTTGCTTTGCTATAATGAAAATATTTTGAAATGCACCGTTTACTGTTAACCATTTTTAATAAATCAAATAAATTATTTGTCTGTTAAAATACTTCCAGGACGGCCCACCTCCCAGTCTTGGACATGTGATTGGAGAGTTGGGTGAGGATGGCTGGATTCGTGTCCAGTGGGACACAGGGAGTACCAACAGTTACAGGATGGGCAAGGAAGGAAAGTATGACCTTAAACTTGCACAGATGCCAGAAATCACAGATAATGAAGAGGATGAGGAGGAGGAAGAAACTCAAAGTGGTGAGGAAAATACACAGGCCTCATAGGGCACATGTAATGAAATCAGACAAATCTGAAATGTGAAATCAGACAAGTCATTCTGTCATTGTCAAATATGAAATCAGACAAATCATTCTGTCATTGTCAAATATGAAATCAAGATAAATCATTCTGTCATTGTCAAGTATGAAATCAGACAAATCATTCTGTCATGAAGACATGAAAGTAGACAAAGACTTTTGTGAAAATTGTGTAACTGAAGTCTTGTACAAAATGTTCTTGTAATCAATAACCTGGTTTTACAAATCTTTTTCTGTTTTTTTTATCTCCACATTATTTGTTTGCCAGAGAAAAGTCACCCAGAGAGCAAGCACCCAACCTGTCTGATCAGGAGGTCAACCGTTGGTTTCCTCAAGGCCCTGTCCCTGTGTGCGGGCATCCATGCGGAACATGCCCAGCCCGAGGCCATAGCCGCCCTGTGTGGACTCATGCTCAGTATCGTGGATGCCGGATGCAACTATGGCCCAAGTGGGTTCCTTTGTCCCTTCAGTTTACCATCTTGACCATTTCATTATTTTTTTTAGAGGGTTGTCTTTATAACATTTTGTGACGCCAGGGCTCTCCACATCTGTGTTTTTTTAAACTTCCATGTAGTAATTTATGCCGAGCATTGATGAAGGTCAACACAAGACAGGTTAATATTGATCTGTTAAGTGGCACAATACAAGAAAGGTCAAAGGTGATCAGTTTAGTGTCACAATAATTAATGTCCTCCTATGATGACAGAAGAAAGGTCAAAGGTGATCAGTTTAGTGTCACAATAATTAATGTCATCCTATGATGACAAAAGAAAGGTCAAAGGTGATCAGTTTAGTGTCACAATAACTAATGTCATCCCTATGATGAGAGAACATGATCAAAAGATAAGTGCATAAATTATCTGAACGTTCAATCTAAATTAATGATTATGCGAAGGTTTGAGTCACTGCTGGATGCCTTCCTTTCATTATCTTTATTAATAATTTCAATTGAAAAAAA